TCTGTTCCAAAGGGGTTCCCCCTATCCCATCTCTGTTCCAAAGGGGTTCCCCCTATCCCATCTCTGCTCCAAGGGGGTTCCCAGTTCCTGCTGGGTTCCCCCCAGGGTGACCCGGGGGGCTCAGTCCCAGCTCCCCCCGAGGCAGAGGGAGCCCTGCACTCACTTGAGGGAGGTTTTTTCACTGGTGAACCACCAGGACAGAGCCTGGAGTGCTGATTTCCCTGATTGTTCATCCTTCTTTTCTTCCATCCTGCACCCAAAGCACTTCTGCATGCATCGGGCAGGGAGAGGCACAGCCCAGAGAGAGAGAGAGAGAGAGAGGTTAAACTCTGCTCCGAGTCTAATCACAGAATCATCTCTACTGTGGTTGAAAAGCAATAATGGCTCATTTTTTTTTTAATTAAATATACTTGCAGAGGCAGATTTCACCCAGGGCTGGAGGGGTGGCAGCTGTGCTGAAGGTGCAGAGAGCTTGGGGCAGGGGAGGCAATAGAAAAAGCACACTGTGATTTTATTTGGGTCAATAAGTGAGTGTATTTCAGCCATTCCTTCCCTTTCAAGAAGATGTTTGTATAATAGAGAACCAGTTCAGCTCCTGGAACTAAGCCCATCCTTTGCTGTTTGTCAGTAAAATAGTTTTTTGCATGTTTTGCATCCGAGTGTTTTTTCCAACCCTTTGAACCCTTTCAAAAACTGGGGCAGCCCAGAGCAGCAGCTCCCCGGTTTTTGGGTGACAGGAGGAGGTGCAAGCAAGGCTGTCCTGACCTCTGAGGAAGGGCTGTGGGATCCTCCCAGGTTCTGGGACAGATTTTCACCCATTTGGCTCCTGGGAAAACAGGGAAGCTCCAAGATCCAAAAGTGATTTTAAAGCAAAATATTTCACTGTTCAGCTCTGCAGAGATGAGCCTGAGCCTCTTGTGCCCATTGCCTGGAAGGGCAGGAAAAGCAGGAAAAGCACAGGAATCTCAGGACTTTGGCACAGAGAAGGAAAAGTGGGAAAATTTCCCATTCCAGCAGGACTGAAATCTGCACCATCATTAAAACAATACCCCATAAATTAACATAACCCATTAAACACAACTTACTATAAAAAAAACTTCACACAAGTATAGATTTCCCCAAATAACTACTGTTCATAAAAAAATTAAAAACCATCAAAAACCTAATTTTTTCTTATTAAAAAGAAGGCTAAAATTTTTATTCTAATTCTTATTGCTCTTTCTTTTAATTTCTATTAACAAATTTCTCCTTATACCCTCTTAAAATTGTAAACCTACTTTACTTTTGCCTGGAATTGCAGGTTTATGACACAATCAGGGATTGGAATCACACGAGCAGATCTCCCTAAAATCATTCCTTGCAAGGGGGGGTTTAGCAGTGGCTCTGCTCAGCTCCCATCTCCTGGGGTTTGACAGAAATTATTTCAGTACAATCTTAACTGGAATTATTTCTGTCCAGCCCCAGGAGATGGGAGCTGAGCAGGAAAAGGAAAGGCTGGAATAACTAATCCTGAGCAGTGGATGTAGACTGAAAGGGAAAGGGGGGAAAAAAAAAAGTGGGGTTTGAGTAATTTGAGTGATTTTGAGTGGTTTGGTTGTGCCAAACCACATCGTGCCAGGGAAAAGAGCAGGGAATTGTCATGGGGGATGCTGGCAGCCCCAGCAGAGATCTCCTGGTGTCCCACAACCAAGTTTTGTCTGTTCCAGCCAGGTCTCATCAGCTGCCACAGACAAACATCACACCCCTGACAGCTCAGCTACCTCAGGTGCCATAAAAGTAGCAGGATGCTCCTGTGGCAGGGTTGGATACAAAAAAATTTAATAAAATGCAAAATAAAAAAGCTCTTTACAGAGAAAAAACGAGCCAGGGCAAGAGGTTCTTGCTCCTGCTAAAACACTTCACAAAAGCGATTTATTTCTTTAATTTTCTCCTTTTTCTAGTGAATTGCTCAGGCAGGACTTTTTGGCTTCTGTCCAATTGGGTGTCCTTAAATTCGAGGTGAAGTCCCTGAGGTGCTACGAGGTGTCTTTTAACCAAATTGAGGAGAGAAACTTCTGGGTTTTTATCCTTTTTAAGGACAACTTGTTTACTCCATCAGCAGGGGACACATTGCTACTCCACAGGGCCGGGGCTCTGCTCCTGAGCTCAGCAGCTCCCGTGTGAGAACTGCTCAGCAAGGCACTCAAGGGCACAGATCTAGGTCAGGCCAACGTGCTGGAGCTGTGCAGCTACACAAGAGGCCTCAGAGCAGAGCACAGAGTTCAAATCCAGTTCAAACACAGAAAAAAAAGAAGAATCAGATTTTCTAAGCTGTCTCTCATATGCACTGAACAAATGTCATCTCATCAAGACAGGCTCGTGTTCAGGGCTTGACAATGGCACATTTTCTCAGCTGTTTCAGAAATGCAGTAGAAAATTTGTGTGGCAAGAGCAGCTTGATGGCAGCAGTGGGAGCAAAGCCCCACTCATCTCTTTCTTCAGACCATGCTGCATCTGTGTGCCCCAAACTCACCTCTCCATGGAGAAAAGAGGTTTACTTGGGGGAAAAATATGTGGGGCTGCTCTCAGACCACTTGTGTTAACTCCAACTCAAGCAGTGAATCCCCCCCAAATCCACGTTTCTAAGAAAAAATTACCCTGAAGGGCAACTCAAGTGAGCAGGGAGCTGTGTCATGGGCAGGATCTGGGGATAAAAGGGTGAGAAATGCCTCTGCTGGAGCACAAACCCCACAGGTTTAAATGTATGGGAGTGTCAGGTTTGGACAATGCCCAGGTTCCCACAGGTCCTGAGTGCTGGGACACTACAGAAACCCCAGAAGGATTTGGGGTCAGGCCACAGAAACCAACACAGCCAGTGGTATTTCACCAAGGGGTCCTTTAATAAATTCAGTTGCTTCTGCCTTTTTGAACCCATTTTGTTTTTCTGGTGCACTTTAAAACCACGAGACCCATGGCAGGCTGAGGCAGCAGCCCCTCCCTGGCACCACGGGCCGCTCTCCACGGGCGATGCCACCAAACCTTTGCCTTATTTTTTCTCTCTTCACGTGAAGCCTGCAGGTTTCTCACACCGGTGTCCCTTTGGGGAAAGGCAGCAGGGGGTTCCTGGCAGTCTCTTTGTTTGCCTCAGCTCCTTCTGTTTTCAGCCACTCCATCTTCTGCCGGTGCTGCTGCACCGCGTCGGCCACGCGGGCGTCCATCATGGCCTCGGTGAGCACGCCGTCCTCCGAGGCGTAGGCTGCTGCCTGTGGGGACAAGGACACCTCAGACAGCTCAGGGATGGCATTTGCCACCATCAGGGGACATCTCAGACTGCTCCCTCCCTGCTGTTCCCTTCTCCGTGTGTGATTTCCCCCACAACGCTCTCATGGCTAGCGGCGCGCAGAGATCGCCAGCAAGGAGCTCTGCCCACCTCTGGATTTGTTGGGAATCCAAGCCCTTGTTTGCAGAATAAAAAAACCACACTTGGCTCCTTTAAATTTCCTCTCCTGCTCTAAAAGAGCTGCACGTGTGAAGCCGACAAGGTGAAGAGAGGTGGGTGCAGGGGGGTGATGGAACAACTCCATCCAAAGCAACAGAAAATCATTTAAACACTTTCACAGCAGAACATCAGTGCTGGGGGGAACATGGGCAACGTGGTGCCTCTGAAATGATGTTTGATGTGCCTCCTCCTGCTTTCCTCATGCACTCCCTCAGGAACCTCCCCTGCATCACTTCTGTGCTGTGGCTGCTCTCAAATGCCCACAGGACCTTCCCTTCCCTTTCCCCCCACCGCCCTGCCCAGTTCTGCTGGCAAACACGGGATCCTGTGGCTGGGAGAGGAAGCACAAATGTGACCACAGCTCCTTG